TGATGTGAAGAAGACGTCGACTGAAGTGAACGATAAGACAGTGTTTGAGTTGAGTCTCTCATCGGAAACTGTGGCCCCGTTTGTAGTGTTGGACTTCAAAGCAAACTCTGGAATTAGGGCTCAATTCTTGGAAAACGGATTCTTTATCTTCGACGGAAAGAAGACCATAAAAATGCAAACGGAATCCAAAATCACCGAAAAGGATATCAAAGATAATCTAACCATTAAGACACTCACAGATGTTGTCTAAAAAGAAACTAGCTTAATTAAAAATCAAAATTCTTAATTAAAAATGATGCCCGATAACTTTTTTCATTAAAATAAAAACAACTTGTTAGAACAATGTTATTACTGTTTATTATTAAGTTTGAAAACTGCAATAAAAATTAAATAAAAATATCATTTAAATAATACGAAAGGATTACCAAGATTATTTTATTAAAAAGTTAAGAAAATTAGACAGAACTAATTGAACACTAAAAACTGAATTGTAATTCCTGTTATTATAACCGCTAATACAAAGTGTCTAGCAACATTACTGTACATTCAAAAAGTACATCAAATATACTGTATTGTATTAAGCGAATAATAAAATGAAAGTCATTCAAGTTATCAAAGGAATATAATCAAGTACACTTAACGTCTATTAAACACATTTACAAGTTATAACCTTATGTAACATAAGTTATGTAACAAAAAGTTAGATAAGAAAAATCATGTAACATAAAAACACTTGTACCGTAATATAAACCCATAGACTCGGTGGCGCAACGGTAGCGCGTCTGACTCCAGATCAGAAGGTTGCGTGTTCAAATCACGTCCGGGTCACTGATACTTTTTTTTATCATTTTTATACATTTTTCACACCATTCACTTATTAACAGAATAAGTGTTAGGAATAATAGAATAAATATTTTTAAAACGATTAAGCATTATGAGTAACTTTTTGTAATTTACTGTAACATTTATGTTTAAATGGTATATTTCCATAAATATGAGTAATACAGTATTTCAATTGTCATTTTAAATTATCGCTATATTTAGAGTTCCGGTTTGTTTTGCAAGAATTTATTGATAAATTGATGATTCGCTAACTTATTTTAATTTTTTTAATAAAACTAAAATATTTATAAATTGAAATATATTGGATATGTTGAGTTACTTGTTGACAATATTCATACAGTAATAAATATAAAAAATACTGACTTTTTATCAAATAAATCCTCCTACATATAAAATTTTATAGTAAATATATAATTAGTAAAACTTTACTGTACTTTTATTTGTTTCTATATTTTAAAAATTTATTTATCATAAACATTATTGAAATTATTACTGAAATTATTGCAAACAGTTATCTATATTAGGAAAATTAAATCACTTTTACAATACTACAGTATATTAAATGATGTATGGATTCCGTTATTTCCAAATTATTATTTTTTACAAAAGAATACTGTATTACAAATTCAAAGGAAATACTTTATTTGGATCTAAATTATTTGAATAAAAGCTATATATAAATAAAAATTAATTCAATTTGACACATTAATTATAAGAATTATTAGTTCAATATAATTATTAGTAGTCTTAATAAGACATTATAAATAGAAAATATGTTTAAACTATTGATACTAATGATGTGTACTATAGTTATCGGTGCGAAAGTTATAGAATTATCACAATTTAAGCCAAAAATCACTAAAGATTGCACTGAAGACACCACTGAAGACGTGACTGAAGACACCACAGAATATACAACTGAAAACACATCTGAGGACTCAACTGAAAATACCTCTGAAGATTGCACTGAAGACACCACTGATGACAGTACCACTGAAGATACCAGTGATGACACCTCTGAAGAAACTACTACTGAAAGCACGACTAAAAATACGACACCAGATACGGATGTTGAAGAGTTGGTGAAATGTATGGAAAGCAACTTAGAGGCCATCAATAAGTGTGGTATGGATTGGGAACACAATTGGGATCAAAACCAAAAGAAAACCGCGAGTTATAGGAAGATACGGATGTGTTGTCATAATTGGGCTCTTTTTGACTGCTTTCAAAAGGTGGCAAAAGTATGTATTCATTCATTCAATATCTCATTCAGAATTGACTTGCTTGTTGATTTAAATAAGCTATCTGATTTGATAAACAATGTAATAATTTGTAGATACTAATTTATTGTATAATTATAGGCTGAATGTGATCTAAACGTGGATTGGGATGAACTACTGGAGCTATACAAAGAAGGTATGGACAGCGATACTCAGAAAAAGTGTATGAAAGCGCCGTACGGCTCTAGAAAATGCCGAATCCCCGGAGGTAATGATCAAAACAAACGTAAATCTATTAAACCATCGGTTGTCATACGTGATTAAATTGTTATTATTGACTATACAATTTGTATTTATTAATTTATTGAAATTAAAAACGTAATCAAACAATTTAACATTATTAGTATAATCATTATTATAACATTTGTTTATATATTTAAAAAGTTATGAGTATTTCATATTAAAATTAACAAAATTAACCAGCAACTGTGGTTGTTACTGTTATGGTACTCGGTATACGATCTGTAATTTCGGTAACAATAATATCACTTTGAGTGGCATTTACCCTAAACTCCCAGTTTTGCTTATTCTCCGGATGTGTATCGAAAGAATTTTCTAAAACTTTCTCAAAATAATAAAATACAGGCTCCGGACCATCGGATGCGTCAAGTTCGGGCAACTGTACTCTCTGTATATTAGTCTTTATACCAATTGTGTCCAGTGTCTGGCACCGACAGAACGTGTATGTCTCATTTTGAAAATGTTGTCTTTTGTGGTATGTTTTATTGCCACTCAATTCCCAAATCATTGCACCAGAATTGTATGGCTTTTCAAATCTAATGAGCATTTGTTTGTCATCGATGGCGTCCACTCTAATTGATCCCAATTGGCTGTCATTCAATATCTTCAAGTCGAGTCCACTGCAGATAACCATTGCTGGTGATAGTGAAGGTGTGACTCTGATGTCTGCCACCTTTGGTTGTAATTGTCTAATGGCTACCAATTCTTTATGGATCAGTTCGTAGAGTTCTTGTGGCGGTTCCAGTAATGAGTGGCTCCCCTGTTGGGCCAATAGGAATGCGTCCATATCTGCAAAATCTTTGAGGTCAGCCAAGACTGTGACAAATAATAATGTTGTGGATAATATTATTTTAAACATTTTGTAAATTATAATGTTTTCAAGTAATTTATTAATTCAAAAGCAACTTTAGAGTTGTATACCAGCTGTGTTAATCAAAACATATTAGTTATTTTATCATACTGTACAATATCATTTTAAACGTTTTATTGTTTTTATATTTTGTTTGTTCAGTATTTATTTGTGAAATGATTTGACTATTGTATCTCCCTATTGTTAATTTATATCTTATTGAATAAGTTAGAAATAAAATATTATACATGTAGGTAATATTCAATATTAGAAACTTATTTAAGAGATTTAAAAAAGATATTTGTTATGGATAACTCATTTACTTAAATGTTAGTCCTATGATTCGTAAAATATTTTATTTATAAAATATTAAAAATTAAAGCACTGTAAAATTATCAGATTATAAATTATTCAAGTATTTTAGATAATATTGCATTTGTTATCAATATCTGAAAAATGTGAAATATCTTAGAAAGTAAACACATTTTAAGATTATCTCAAATATGTTGCCTTTTATTTGACATTATATAAGAATTGTATTTCAATATTAGATTGCAATAAATTATATTACAATTCATTTAATAAACGTTTAGAACAAATAACATAATTAACTTTGTATCATTTTGTAAATAAAATATTTCACATATATTAAGTAATGAATATATGTGTGTCTGTCAATCAAAAGAGGTTTTGTTTTTTCACATTAAGACTGTAACTCATAGCACATACACAACACATTCAATGAAGTTTTGCACAAAAGTATTACAATAATTAAGTTGTGTTTTAATTATAAAATTATGATTACTACTTATATAAATAAGTTAAATAATTTGTCTAATAGTAAATGTTTATACTAATTATTTGTGAAAATTTTAAATATTGATTTAATTGTGGTTCAAATAAATGATATTTGTAACTAACTTTTGTGCAAAACTTCATTGAATGTGTTGTGTATGTGCTATGAGTTACAGTCTTAATGTGAAAAAACAAAACCTCTTTTTATTGACAGACACACATATATTCATTACTTAATATGTGTGAAATATTTTATTTACAAAATTATTGAACGAATATTTTATTACAATCAAATCTTAAGCAAAATAGTTGTTATTTTAAATGACTTCATTTATATTAGTTATTTTTCTGACTAAACTTTTTATTTTTATCATTTTGCTGATATTTCATTTCATTTGTTTAACTTCAGAATTATTGTGTAATATGAAATCCCACTTAAAATAATCCTGATAACTTTCAACGTAATGGAAGTTTCCAACAAAACCTTAATGTATTTCTGGATATTATCTTTGAATAGATATTATGTGAAATGCATTATTTTATTTTTATAATCATTCAGTAGATTTACCGGTATAGATATATTTATATGATTTTTTATTGATTAATAAAATGTGGGAATAAATGATATTTGTTATAATTATTATGAACGCAAAATAACAAAAACAAATAACTCTTAAGATTAAACTAAATTCTTTATATTCATAAAAGTATTCATATATATATGATAGTAAAAGTATTTTATGTTAAATATAAACTTAAAGAATATTAGTTAAAAAGATGTTTATTTATTCAATTTAATAAAATCAATATTTTCAAATTGTTGTTCAACTCGAGCCTTAAGTTCGAAGTACTAAATAAAATAAACAAATAGAAACACAACTAATAAATCATATTCATTCATATAATTGCATACAATATGACTTACATAACCAACGAGACTATCAACAAACATCACCCATGGCATGTAATCAGGTATACCACAACCACATTTGTCTGACTTACATGTGGGCAGATCTGACTCTTGGTTATACATTTTGGTGATCCCTTTGACTGCACACCCCCTGCAAAGGTTGAGGTGATGGCACGAGAATATGGTGGTGTCGGCCCTCACAAACTTCTTCTGGGCGTCCATCACTTTCTTACAGCCCACACACTGTTCCTGTTTTACCCTGGGATTAACCTCGGGAAACGTGTACAACATTAAATATAGAGACTGTTTCCGCTCCGGGGGCCGGGTCTCCACGTGAAAGGCCAGCGCCAGTATCTCCTCGACCCGCCGTTCCACTTGTGTCGGTGTATGGCTATTATTGTTGGACTCTTTGATTTGCTTCAATCTTTGTAAGCCATCGCAGTCTTTGATTATCTCAGCGAACGGAGAGATAGTGTCCTCCGAAGTCAACAGCTTTTTCTCTTTGCCGAGAAATGCCTTAAATTCCCAAAACAGGAAACTAATGATTGTTAACAAAACTAAATTCAGGTAATCTTTGTCATCGGTGTCGAGTTGGGAGCAAAGGGCTGGCAGACAACCTTTGATACATGTGTGGGAGATATTGCGTTATATAAGAATACAAATGCAATAACGGGTTTAATTCATTCATTATAGTAAACAAGATTAAAAGTCACAAGATGGGAAACAATAAAAATATTTCTACTGTCCTATCATAAAATATAACTTATATGACATACCCTTAGCTAATGGCGTCAACTGATCCTTAACGTCGGCATTATATGCGGTCACAAACATTGCATTGACGGCACATCTCTTGACTTTTAGTGATT